GGACGAAGTCTAATTCAAGTGCGAAACAATTGTAACACCCGATTCAAGGTACTTTTCATTTTGACCCTTGGTGTATATATTGTTTGCAGATTTGGCACCAAATGGGCATTGTCGCCAATTTCGGAAGAGTGGGGTGCGCTGAGCGTACTCCTTGGAAGTTGGGCGTAAACACCCAGGGGACAAACCCTAATTTTTAGTGTTTAGACCCTATTTAAGTAACATTATGACCAATGATCCCCTCATTTATCATCCTCTATTACCCTTTGAGCCTCATTTTGAAACCCTAGCCCCTTTAGAGAAGATTTGACCCCCTTTGTGTATGTTTTAGTGTGTGTTGGTGAGCTTTGAGGAAGAAGAGCTTTGAAGAAGGAGCTTTGATCAAGGAAGAGCTTGTAGATCCAGATTATTCTCATCGTTTCTAGCTTCATTGAGGTATAAAGTTTGGAACTTTCTCATTGTATGCTTAGATCTAGTCTTTATGGAGTTTTGGTCACTTTTGGTTCCATGAATGAGATCTAGTAGGAATGCTTCCACTCAAAATATTGGGAGTTGCTTCTCTTGATGTTTCTAAGGTCCCCAGTTCATAAAGTTAGCATCTTGATGGTTGTAGATCAACCATGCATGTGTTTATGTCCATTTGGAGAAAGTAGAATGCTAAATCTAGGGGTCGAGTTCATTTGAGCCATGCAAAGCTTCCAAGTTAATGACTTTATGGATTAAGATGTTCCCCAAGGCTTGGATCTGAAGTTTGGACGACTGATTGTAAGCATTAAGTATTTAAGGAAAAGGTGCTTAATAGGCGCGTACGCAGGCGTACATGTTCGAGTCCCCGATCAGGCACGCGACTTAGTATGTCGGACGTATGTCTGGTACGCACAACATACCAAACCTGGTCTTAGGCTTTACGGTTTGGGCCATATTTGGTCTATTAGGGTTTTGGGCCTTATTAGGCCACTAGCCTTTTGACTTTAGGCCATTGTTAGATTTTAGGCCTTTTAGATCTGGGCCCATATTGGGCTTTGGGTAACCTTTAGGAAATTGGGCCACTATTGGACTTTTTGTTTGGGCCTCGAATATTGGGCCAAGTGAGGAAAGGGTAAAATGGTCTTTTATCGTGGGTGTTGGACCAATGAACTAGATTTTCGATTATCGATTGTGACCCAATTATTAATTGGGATTTTATTTGGTTGGTTAGTACGAGGATTCTCCAGTTCAACAGCCCGAGCATCTATTGACTGGCAGCAGAATGAGGTAAGTTTTCTCACTATACTATAAGACACGAGGATATGTTATGTGTTTGTAGTCTTTGTGACTCTTGTTGTATGTGTTGTATGTATGTGTGCATGTTTGCTATATGTATGTGGGGTGAAATAGACCCTACACAGCCTTGAACTGGCATATGAGTTGAAATATACTCAGGGGTGAAATAGACACGGGGGTGAAATAGACTCGGCACAACCTTGAGCTGACATATGAGTTAAAATAGACTCGGCAATGAAATAGACTCGGGGGTGAACTAGACCCGACACAGCCTTGAGATGGCATATATGTATGGTATGCGGTATCTTAGGGAACTCACTAAGCTTCGTGCTTACGGTTTTCAGGTACTTCCGGATCAAAGGGGAAGAGTTCGGGATTATCGCATTGCATACACCATGATTTTGATGTTTCAATTAATAAGAAGATTAAAAAATTGATATTAAATTTTGGGACGTTACATTTCAATTTCAGATATTCTATAGTTTCTAACCGGTTTAGTATTGATTTGAGTTCATGTTATTTGTATTTTCACACATTATTTTAAACTTTTATATTGATTTGCATTATATTTCATTCATACACTTACTGCATGCATTTTATCAGTTATAAAGACTTTATACATGTTTGGAATGGACCTATACCTACCTATGCATTTTTTGGGTGCTTTGTAGGTCGTGGAGCATTATGGTCATGTTAGAACTCTAAAGGATGCTCTAGGAGTCGATTTGACTATTCCTAATTACAGTAGTCATAAGAGCTTAAGCGTAAGCAGATATACAGCCGCATCTAAAATAAAGGTTTTCAATCGCATTGTATATACATCTATATCTAATACAACATAGAAAAAGTTCCATACATTCATATAAGGTGGTTAAAAGAGCAACTTTGAGCAGTTATCATGGCATTGCACAAAAAGGAAGTGATGGGTTTATTTGTGGGATCGATAAGAGAATAGATGAAAAATAGAGGAATAATCAAAGGAAGAACTTGTTTTGACAACATAATTGTTGAATTTCATCGTTAAAAGTGTTAATTTGCTAGTTTACTTTGCAATAGGTGTTGTTTTATTCAACATGTGTAGCTAGAATAAAGGGTGGTATTCTCGATATGACACGAACCTCATACATAAATAAAAGCTTTATGGTGACCTTAAATGGGTTTGGGTCATTTTCCAGTTGACCCGTATAACCCTTATAATGAACGTGATATGTTCGGGTTAGTAGGTAGGTTTGCGGGTCGACTTGCTAACCCTTTTAATTATATTAGGGTTTTTTTTTGTCATTTTTGAATACGTAATACCCTAAAAGTAAATCTCATTTAACATGCCGACATACAAGTTTTGAACTCTTTTTCTTGTCCCATCTCACGTTTAATCACCTAAATCCTAATCCTTTCCACATTTCACGATAGCCCATTGGTAGAATCGGCTATTTTTTTAATATAAGATTTTCTACCAATAAATTTTCTTATGAATATAAGCTTTTATTGATTAAAATAAAGGCAAATAACTTTAGAAATAGTGTGAAATATGTTAAAAATGAATGAATGTGATGCATAAATGCTCTTACAAGGTGGGGACCCGCTAACCAGATTATGACCCGTGAACATGAACTCTCGAATATGACCCACAACCGCTTATAATAAAACAGGGTAGGAGACTATGTTCATGTTTGGCAGATACATGTTAGTGTTAAACAATGTGACACCTTTAATTATACAGGTCACTTTCTAACCCGCCAAGCAACAAACCCAAACACAACACGACCATCACCCCTAGCAAGAAGCCTAGTTATCTGACGTTGGATTTGTATTCTACTTCTATTGTATTTGAGATTTGAGATTTTATCCATCTTGTCGTATGATGGACATATGTTTGATTTATTTAGACTAAATGGTATGGGACATCAACGAGAAGCGACGCGGTGACGTGGCAGCCGACGACGGCGTTATGACGGGGGGAACACCGCCCCCCCTATCTCGTTGCATCTCGTCTAGCACTTCTTGTGGGCGTTATGACGAACTGAAACGCGAAGATTTTACCGTTGCTTTTTTGACCGTTTTGAAACGGTCGAAATTCAATTAAAAAAAAACTTTTTTTTTTACTTTTTACCTATATATATATATATATATATATATATATATATATATATATATATATATATATATATATATATATATATATATATATATACAATCTTTTTTAATTTACACTTTACATATCTTTTTAAAATCTTCTCTATATTTTCTACACTTTGTTAATCAAAAAATGGAGCAAAACCCAAACACCCCCCTCCCTCATCAAACCCAAACACAACCTCGCCTCTCGGATTTGTGGGGTACGAAAATTATTTTAACCTTTTGTCGTCTCAGGGTTCACCACAAATACCATACCAAGGTGCTGCTTTCAATCCCACTTCACCGCCACTGCAATTTCCCAACTCACCTTACGTTCAACAAAATCAATTTGGTCAACACCCAAATTTACAACAAAATCTTTTCTCTACTTTTGGTTCGATGCAACAAACAACAAATCAACCGTCGCCTACAACACAACCAACAGTTCAAGTGGAAGCGGGAAGTAGTAGGAAAGGGAAAGGGAAAGGAAAATCAAAAGGGAAATCAATAGCGGTGGAATCTGAAAATGCAGACGTTCCACAATGGTGGACACCGGAGGAGGAATACGCTTTGACGGCGGCTTGGTGTGCTACTTCAAAGGACGAACTTCGTGGAAATGGAATGAAAAAATGAGCTTATTGGGGGGCGGTGCTCGACAAGTTTCACGCTATTTTAAAGAAAAATCCGTATCGCAACGACATGTTGAGCAGCAAATGGGGTATGATAAGTAAGCGGTGCAGCAAATTCAACGGTATTTACAACCGGATTGCGGCGCAACAACAAAGTGGAACCAACGACTTTGATTTGTTCAAAGCTGCGAAGGAACAATATCGGGTCGAAATGGGTCATGTTTTCGACTTTGAAAAATCATGGGAATTGTTGCGAGCGGATCCAAAGTGGAATAAAACGCCTACATCGTCGGAGGTTCAATCCAAAAGGTCTCGCAATTCTAGTTCGGTCGACGTGTCGGACGCACGGACTAACATCGATCTAAACGCCGATGATGATGAGATCCCGGATGATATCCAAGAGATATCCCCACCACGATGACCGCCCGGACGCGACAAAGCGAGGCGCGCTGCAAGACATGCGGAGGAGGTGGAGACGAGAGCAAAAGATGCGGCGGAAATGAGAGCGAAATTCGACGAACATAATTTGTTAATAAAAGAAAAAAATGAGTTGAAACGTCGTCATTTGGAATTTCTGAAAAGTCAGGCACGGGAGAAGCGGGAGCAAAAAGAAAGGGAACTAATGACACAACAGTTGTCAATTCTTCGGACAAGCGAGGATGGTTTAGCACCTGCTGATCTAGCGGTGCTACAAGCAATGAAGGAACAAATTAGGAAAAAATATTTGGGTTGATTGTGTGGTATTTAGTAGTGATTTCAATGTTATTTTAGTTATTAATTTAGGTTTAAAATTATGTTTTTTTAATTGTAATCGGATTTTAGATTTTAAATATTATATCTTTTTTTTGTTTTTAAAATTATATGTTTTATAAAAAAAATATATTAGTTATTAAAAAAACGCAAAAAGAAAAAAAAAACGAAAACAAAAAAAAATTAAAAAAAACGAAATAGTGAAAAAAAATACAAAAATAAAAATATTAATTTTCAAAAAGTTGGTGTTACATCTTGTTACCCATTTCCTCAATTGGTATTATAACACCACTTACTTATGTAGCATATGAGGTGGTGTTGCATCTTGTTGCCCACACCCAATGCTCTTATGTTCTCTGAGAGTCAAATCATGTAATGCATCGTTGAAGTCAGCCGCTTGACTTACATATGACTTTGAGTTGTTATTTCGTTTACTAGAATATGATCATTTTAGCAATCAAATCAAGAACCATTTTTTTGAATATGCAAGTTGAAAAAACCCCAAGTATGTATGTTACTATGTATGCATGCATATTAAACAAATGAGCAGCAGTCTTCTTCTCACAAAACCCCTTGTCATCAAGATGCATGATATTCTCAAACTAAAATGTACCAAATATCTAACCAAATTTCAACACATCTCAATACCACACAATAGTAATGGTTCACAACTACAAAAACCACATGAATCGATCTTTTATCTAATACGGATCACGACCCATGCCCCTTCGATCTTCCCGTCCCCTATCCACATACGCATCCCGTCTATAATCCTTCGAAGGTGGCGGCGGTCCACCCCTAACCGGCGACCTACTCCTCTCTCTCTCATCACGCACCCACCGTCCACCACCACGTCCCACCGCCGGCGGCGGTGGCGAAGATATCGGCCGCCTGTCGTACCCTTTTCTCTCTCTTCCCCAATCGGGTGGTGGCACCATTGGCCTATGATCAAACCTATTATTGCCCCTCTCTCTCATCTCATCTTCAAAGTAATCCGGCCTCTGATTATGATTATGATTATGATGATCTCTTGGAAACCTTCCTTCATGTCTCATCGGACCACCAATTCCAAACTCTCTAGGCGGCCCATCTCTTCCAAAGCCTCGAGGCGGTGATCGGTACCCGTTGAATGACCTACCCGGTGACCGGTCGAGTGGCGGTCCAGTGAACCGCCGCCCCATCAGTGGCGGCCCCGGGTAGCCCCTCCGTGGACTCCCGGGTCCCGCATAGCGGGACCTGTTGCAGTTGTTGCAATACTCCCGTCTTGCAAAGTTCAGATTATTACATCTAAAAAAGATACAAAAATTAACGTCTTTTTTAGTATTTTATTATTTTGTGCAATTTTAAATTTTAAATTTTAAAATTTAAATTTACTTACGTGGGATCTGTGCACATCCAATCACCTTCACGTGGACGGACATTAGGGTTGTTTCTAGGAATGACATCACCACCACCACCACCACCACCTCGGAAACCACCCGGGCCCATACCAGGGCCGCCATCGAACCTGCCGCCACCGCCAAACCTGCCGCCACCACCAAACCTGCCGCGGCCATAAGGCGGTGGCGAATGGTCACGAAACCTACCGGAATCTCTCCCTCTACCAAATCCACGGTGGCGGGGTGGAGGTGGTGGTGGCGGTGGCGGCGGTGGGCCGTCTGAATGATCATAGTCGGGACTGTAGTGGTGGCTGCCGTTTCTCCGGCGAACAGGAGAAGCAGAACCTGCACGCATTCTATACCCTGAAAAGCCAGTTAAACCCAAACCATTAAAACAGAGTAACACCAAGAAGAAAAACCAAGTTTGTTTCTTGTCCAAAATCCAAATGGAATCAACTTTAACCAAGTCTTTTAAGAACATTAATTAGCAAAGAAGACACCCGATTTCCATTAATTTGCTCTTCATGTACCTTTTCATTAATCCAAACACCCAATACTTAATTGTAAACAGTAAAACTCACACACAACCCATTTATTCACTTTCTTCAAGAATCAAAACCCCTCTGCTGATTCATAGAGATATATTCAAGAAAAGACCCAAAAGAATGTAAGGAAGCAAACTACAACCCGTATAGAGCATCTTTTTCCCCTGATTTGAGATGGAAACTACACCTAAAAGCTAAACCAATTAACCACCTTAGTGACCCTATTGTTCAAAAAACCAATATGCCCAACTATTATATAATATGAAAGTGGTTTTGAACCAATCAGAAAAGCACACTCTCCAGTAATTGATGATGGCATCCAAATTCCTTATTCCCAAAAGTAGCAGGAGGAAGTTCTTCAAGAGGTATTGATAAGTATTTTAGCAGACATCATTACCAATCATGTAAAACCCCCATGTCAGCTTTTGATCCCATTTGAATGAATACCCTAATTAATATCCCAATTCAAAACCCAAAAAACAAGTCCCATAACCAAATTCATATATAGCAGCATTCAAATCAAAACAACTGGCTTCCTCAAGACCTCAAGTTCTTGCACCAGCCGTCTTTTCTCAGCTGTAAAACACAATAGCAAAATCATTCACAAATATAACACGCCAAATGAGTACTGCTCCACACAACCTAAGGTATAAGGAAAAGGTCAATATCATCATCAAGCAAAGCTAGAAGTCTAGAACCATGGAAGTTTCAAACAAACAACGATATTGATTTGATTCATAGGTTTCAAATCCCTCATGGATTAAGTTAGTAACTCTAGTTAATAAACATGATTTGTCCCAGAATTCTATCTCCTGTGAGCACAATTTCAACAATTTTTAACTTAGTTTTCAAAACAAGTAAGGGTTGCTTTGCTTCATCACGTATCAATTAGAGAAGCGAACAGAGAAAAAGCGTGTTGATGAAAAATCATTTGGTTCGATTTAGCTTTGTACGGAAAGAAAGATTAGAAAGATTAGACCACCTCTACTACCTTTTCCATACAGGAGATTAATCTAATTTAGTATTAACGACACGGATACAAAATTTGGGAACACAAAGAGACGAAACAACCACCATATATGCTTCATGATTACTAATATGAACGATTTCTGATAGCAATAGACATAAAAGCAGATCTAAGCTTAAAAACAATTTAAAGAAAAACATAGAAAACGAGTAAAAGGGGAAAGGGAAAGAACCGATAGAACGAACCGTGGTTATTTTCAGCAAATCGATCTGAACGAGAATAAGGAGGCGGATCGCGGCGAACTTCGCCTGGCTCATAATCGCTACCACCACCACCGCCGCTGTCGGTCGGGCGTACGACGAGGCTGCTTAGAAGGGGTTGGTGAGGCGTCGTTGGATCCTTGTCTCGCGAACCCATTTCCTGCTTGTCTCTCCCTTTAGGTCTCTTCAGCTCCGTTCACTCTTTCACCGTCTTCCGTAACAGCAGACGATATATAAAACCCTAATCATAACTTGCAATTCGCTCCAAATGGATTGAACTTCCGGATCAAGTCGGGTCGAGTATTTCATCATATTATAAGTGCACAAATTATAAACAAAATTTAGGAAATTGTCTAAAGGGTGTTTGGCTTGTCTTTTAAAAAGGCAAAAGTTCTTTTTGGGAAAGATAAATGGCAAAAGATGTTTGGTAAACATATTTTAAAAGTAACTTTTGGATAGAAGGAAAAATAATTTTTTGGAAAAGTTAGGAAAACCTAACTTTTTGTAACTTTTCCAAAAAGTTCTTTTGTCTATCAAAAAGACAAGCCAAACACCCCCTAAATGGTCCCTTATTATTATTTATTTCATTTAAAGCACTTGTACCTGTAAACTTTCATACTTTAACCCACATTTGAAGGTAATATTATTGTGTTGAGTGCAAGTCAGTGGGTGAGTCAGCATCGAGTCATAGACGAGTCGACTCGTCTTCCACCTAAGCCAATTTAATACATATATTAAATTCTACCAACCAACCAACCACCCTTAGAGGACAAGGAAGTGTTGATGATGGTGGCATAAAGCTCTGTTACAAACTCATGTGGGCATTAACGTAGTATATTCTTAAAAGTTTTTTACCTTATTTGGGAAAAAACGATTCCGACCAAAATCCTAAATACTTGCAATGTCGGCTCCACCACATCCTTCACGTGACTTGATAAATTCACAAGACTTTCTCAACCTCAACGACCTACATTCCATTGTTTGTGATAATAGAGACGAGATTACTACCAACCAGATCAAGATGTTAAGGCTTGAAGATCAGCTGATTCAAGATTTCATTTTGTGTCGTGTTGATCACATCAGTCTCGAACACAAGCAGGAAAATCATGACAAAAAGTTTAAAGCTATTGTTGTGGTGATGGGTGTCGTCAAGGTGGCCATGCTTAGGATGATGGTGGTTGGACTCAAATTTGTTATGAAGCTTGGATAAGTTATATATATATATATATATATATATATATATATATATATATATATATATATATATATATATATATATATATATATATATATATATATATATAGAGAGAGAGAGAGAGAGAGAAATATATATATATATATATATATATATATATATATAGAGAGAGAGAGAGAGAGAGAGAAATGATCATTTGATAACTCAAGGTTTCCCGAAAACTCAATAACTAAAGGTGAAGTGTTAGATCAAAAAATTTAATGGTTTAGATTAAAAGTGAGTTTAATGGCATTTTAGGTTTTTATCAATGAAACCTGGAGGTAAATTTGATATAAAAAATACCCTTTCAAAAACCAATAAAATATAAATTACAAATTAATCTAAAATCCATAAATTAATCTTACGCACTCTCTCTTCTTGCACATTGTCTGCACATATCTTCCTTTTCCATCGACCACCTCCCTCCACCCTCCATCCACCGCCTCCCACCAGCCTCCATCGACCCCCGCTTCATCTGTCGATGGTTGAAACACCCGCATATTCGGGCTAGTTAATTACGATATAATAAGCGTTACAAATGATTTTTTTATTATCTAATATAAATAATCTTAACCAAAGTAATAGTTAAGGCTAACAATTGTAACCTATTTGACGTAATAAAAAAGAATTATTTAAATATTAGATGTTTCATGATTATTACTATAATATAAAAAAAATAGGAAAAATCAGTCGAATCGTCCGTAAATCGTAAAAATAAATGCGCCAAAACATATATACACACACACACACACACATTTAGGAAGTACACGTCGTCCCGATCCCAAAAATTTAAATTTCGTCGAAATCCGAATCTGTATGAATTAGATATGATTTTTATAAAATATAAAAGTCAGTTGCGTATAACGAATGTATGCCGTTAAAAGCTACAAAGAGAATAATTTACTTTTAGCTAATGCGACCAAAAAGAAAATCGTAGTACTCCTTAAAATAAGAATTTTTAGAAAAAGAATGTCAAAAGCGGAGTCCTTACGAGAAAGTTATGATTGTAGCAAAATCATTTAATTTTATAAAAATATGGACAAAAATATAAATTCAAAATTAGTCGGCGGAGTCTAAACGAAAGTTGTAGATCTCGTCGATAGCTACACGTGTATATAAAGAACGTAAAAGACGGAGTTCGTATGAACGAAATATAATTTTTAATAGCACATTTACATATTAAAATAAAGTTTATATATATATATATATATATATATATATATATATATATATATATATATATATATATATATATATATATATCATCAGAAATGTATCGACGATGCGGTCGTTATAAAACAAGTCTTGAGTAATTTCGACATTAGTTTAGTACAAATATCATTAAATCTATTTTAAATAGTATGATAAAGGGGTGTCTAGTCATTTAAGTAAATATATAGGGTGATTTTTAAAAATTCAATTACTATAAATAAGAGCCTCTGGGCTCCCATATTTCTTGCACAATTCTCTTGATTCAATAGTTTCTCTTCTTATCACCCGAGCATTTCGGTCCCTCGTGATTCCACTTCGTTTCCTATAGTTTTAGTATAATAAGGTGAACGCTGAACCGCTGCAAGAATCGTTCTTAGAAAGATTCAGCGACGAAGTCCTGCCCTTGCAGAGTCCGACTCCTAGCAAAAACCCCCTTGTAAGTAAGTTATGTCTACCATATTTTAAATATAGCTTATATTTAAAATTAGTATTGTTATTATGAACTTATAATAAATAGTTGAGCGATTATTATCACTTATATAAGTGTCGTTGTAATATCCTTTTAACTACTCGCGGTACGTGGAATCTGATTTAAAGGGTCGCATAGGGTTGTTGGATTTCATAAGTGTTATATGCCAAAATGGTTATGTCCTCCGATGTTTTATGTCTGGCCCCTGTCTGTACATAGTGGTTGGAAAATATTGTTTAAATGCTTATATAATAATAATAATGTTAAGACTAATAATTAGTCACGGTAAATAATAGACTAATCTGGTGGTAATAATACTAGGTTTCGTCGAGTAAATTATATTGTTAAGAAGCGCAGCGCTGTCCGAGTTTGGAATCATCACTTTAACAAGTGAGTGCATAGTTATTTTCATATTACACATAGATATGAAGTATTTAATATAAATTACGTGCTATGTGTGCATATTATTTATGTTCCTGATATTTGTACTGGATGAACAAAAATATACATGTTTTAATTGTTTTAAATTGTATATGTATTTTATACTTATAATTATGATAGGTAAAAGATGGGTAGATTAAAGATGAGATGAATGATGAGCGATGATATATGAGTGGTAAAAGATAGTGAGAAACGATAAGTCAAACGATGACCCAAGCGATGACCCCGTCATCTAGCCGAGTATAGATGACAACCACAAATTATTCTAGACAGTCGAGTGGAACACTAGCAGGCTCGCAGCCTGTAGGTGTTGTGAATGATGTGTTCACCCGGTGTACTCTAAAAAACCCCCATTGACATGTATTGCGGGTGGACTCCCTAAAATAATATTGTTAATAAATGAGATAAACCCTGACAGATATGGACTTAGCGCATGCTAGATGAACCCTGTCAACTATGGACTTAGTGCCTGTTATATAAACCTTGACAACGAGGGACTTCATGCCTATTCCTTAGGACAATCATTAGGAATAAATAATGAAGAATAGATGATTCTTAAGGAAGATATTTAAGAATAAATGTGACATCCCCATTTTCACGGCCAGAAAAGACCGATTTTGTTTATGCTTTATAAAAATCAGAGTACTTCATTTTATAAAAAGGTTGCGGAATTTGTTCCCAGAAAAACACGATAAATACGTTATTAAAACATTTTCGAAGAAACGTATTTTTATTCATCTTAAAACGTTTGGGATGTCATCGTTAATACAGAAACATAAGCATAAACAGAACTTACATGTATTTACACTAGTGATCTACATCTCTTTAAATCTCTCAGTGTAAAGTGACTTCATATCAACACCTGTGATATAAATAAACTGAGTGGGTCAGGTTGGGAAACCTGGTGAGTACATAGGGATTTCAATCCCACAATGTTATACCATATATATAGTTTAAAATTCACAAAATATACAATTTCACCATACATATATATAAACAACTCTTATCCCACCCCGTCGATCCTCGCAACGAGGCTATCCATACTCTCGGACCTAAGATTAGTCGTTTTACCTACTCCATACTCTCGGATCAGAAATGAACGAATTTACCAAATCCATACTCTCGGACTAGGGACGAATGACTAATCCATACTCTCGGATTAAAGATGAATGATTATGCCTAATCCATACTCTCGGATTAGGGACAATAGCTAATCCATACTCTCGGATTAACGAATGATTATGCCTAATCCATATTCTTGGACTAGGGACAATGACTATGTCTAATCCATACTCCCGGATAAGTGACATATACTAACTTCTATTCTCTGAGTTTAACTCACTTGTACTCGTAAGAATATACTACCCAATATTCCTCATATTTAATTTAGGTCTACTCTTTATCCTAAATTATCAAATATAATCAGGTATGTTCTTTAACACGAATTTCAAGCAACATCAATTAACTCGCACATAAACATATAATTAATATTTCAATCAATACTTGTATTAAAATCATGTTCATGAAAGGGACTATGCACTCACCTGAGAAGGTGGTGACTCGGTACTCGGACAGCGCTTCGTTTACTTTAAAATAATTTCCTTCGACGAAACCTAGTATTATCACCAATAGATTTTAGTCTATTATTCGCCGAGACTAATTAATAGTCTAGCTATTATTACTATTATATAAGTGTTAAAAAAATACTTACATAACCCATAATAATAGCCCAAGTATTTATTATATGTTCTTAATAACGTTAATATAATTAAATAAAAACTATATTAAAAATAGCGTAGGCGTAGCTCACTTACAGCGGGTTTTATAGAAAACCAGGCTTTGCTTGGAGCAGCGTTTCCGAGCCGAAAAGCTCTTCTTCTCGGAGCCGTCGAGCACTCCGGGGCTTCCGCCTCGTGCTAGGGAGGTTCCCTAGCCTTTTCGGGGGATTTCGGGGCTAGAGAGAGGTTCTAGAGAGAGAGTAAAGAGAAGAAAGAATGGGAAAGGTGTGAAGAAAATGAGGGTGGGAGAGGTGGTATTTATAGGGTGAAAATGGCTGAACTTGGTGCCACATGTCACCATCTAGTGGCAAGACTTGGGGAGAAAGCAATGGCCAAGATTGTGCCACATCACCCATTTTCGCACAACACACTTCCGACTTCTAAAATCCGTAACTTTCACATACGACCTCCGTTTTTGACGTTCTTTATATCCACGCGTAGGTAAAAATAATATCTACAACTTTCATTTTGACTCCGTCGGCTAATTCTCAACCGATCTTAAATTTAACAGTACGAGGCGTTTAGATTGTTAAATGACCGCGAAGAATTCGTAACTCCTTCATACGGACTCCGTTTTCATCTGTCTTTTTACCGTTGAGTTCCTATTAATGAGATCTTCAAATCTCATTTATTTCATGTAAGCCAAAAATCGCTCGAACTAAAATTCGAGTTTCGGGCTGTACACTGCTAAGCCGAATCTTAGAAAAATCATAACTTCCTCATACGAAGTCAGATTTGGGCGTTCTTTTTATCAACGCTCTTAGTTTAACATATTCTACGACTTTTGTTTAGATTGCTAAGGCTAAAAAGTCTTTTATCGTAAATTCACTATTTACGTCTTCCGGTGCCATGCCAGTTTTGCCGTAAAATTTCGGCGGGCCATAACTTCTTCGTTATAACTCGGATTTCGGCGTTCTTTATATGTACGGAAACCTTGTGACATATTCTAAAATTTGGTTAAGATTATTTATTCTAAATAATCTTTTGTCGAAAACTCATTTTCGACCCCTATTGCCTCTAAATTGACTAACCCGGATCTGCGGGCGTTACAATAAAGAAGATAATGAGGATGGGTA